CATTGCATCAAAGACAGACGAGTCTTTCAAAACCGCAAGAGATGAGATGAAAAAACTAATAGAAGAATTAGAAAACTCGTTTGGTTTGAATCATTCAGTCAACCAGAGCATTGTAGTAAACAATGTTCGTGACCCTCAACGAAAACAACGCAAGCGAAAAGAAGTGCCGAAGAACAAGGTCGAGAAGAAAATTAGGCGATGTGGGTACTGCAACGGTGAGGGGCATAACAAACTAACATGTCCTCAAGTCAAGCTTAGTTTGAGTACAAGCACACAGCCTACATCAATTGATTTTTTCGAAGACGGAATGGAATGACAACGATCTCCATATAATAATATATCGTAAGTATCAACATGACTCCTATTGTATGTACATATAAATATTTTGAATGAAGGAAGAAAAACCGCGTTACTTCAAATTACCGACACTTTTTTAAATGGTATCGACACATTTTTATTCCAATCTGGACATAAAGTACCGACACAATATTATAAAGTGTCGATATAGGTTGTAGACCTATTCGCTCATAAAACCGGTATATTTATACCGGTTATATTACAAAAATTATCTATTACATTATAATTATGGGTTCCGATGTGTAAAATGTCGACACTTTTTTAAATCGTATCAACACATTTTTCTTCCAATATGGACATAAAGTACTGACACAATATTAAAAAGTGTCGATATAGGTTGTGACTTTTGAGAATCGTAGCATATGGTCCAGGCGAGCAAATCGATAACCTAACAAAATTAATTACACAATCAGAACATATTCAATAAGTTTTATTTATTTTCTACTTTCTACTTACCACACCGCCAACCCATTCCGTAGGCTTCAACGTTGCAACGTCGTATACAGTAGCGAATTGATTTCCCATTGATATTACAGAATATCTGTATGAATCATTAGGATTAATATCTTGTCATGAAATATTTAAATATCACTCACAAAACAATATATTTCACTTACCCCGATTCTAACTCGCTATTCCATAAATAATCACAAATTGCAGCTTCGATGTCATCAATTCCGGTTGGAATATCCGCTTTTTCAACCTACAATTTTGCATACAAATTTTTGTCACAACAACATAATAAAAATCAAATTAAGTATTCTTTTATTAAACTTACCTTCTGCTTCTTCTTCTGGGGTGCAGGACATTCCGAATCCAAAACTGCTGCTATAACACTCTCCGGTGTATAAATGACATCGACTTCCTTCCTCCTCATTTCTTCCATCTCTTCTTCTTCCTCCTCCCTCTTTTCTTCTTCATATTTTTTCAGTTCATCGTACTTTTTTTCTACATAGCTCTTCATATCTTTTATTTCACCCTTCAATTGATCTCCTTCATCCGAGTATTTATCAACCACCCCCTTCACCCCGTAAGTTCACTCCTCAAATCAACAACCTCCTTCACCACTCCCTCAAATTTTTCTCCCGTCACCATCTTAATATCACCCCTTAACACCCCAACTTCTTTCACCACTTCACCCCTCAACACCTCTACTTCTTTCACCACTCCATCTATTTTCCTTCCACTACCCCCTTATGCCTCTCGAGTGTATCTTCGACTCTCTCGAGTTTCTCTACGACTTGATCAAGTTTCTCTTCGACTCTTGATTGTCTTTGCATGATTTCAAATTGGATTTTTTTGATATCAGCCAATTCAGACATCAAAATGTCGAAGTTACTCTGTTTTGTTTCACCGTCGTCCCACTCACCTTCATCCCCCAATACAACCATCCCTCCTTTCTTCTCCTCTGCCTCCACTGCCTCCTCTACATCCTTGCCAATAACCTTCAAAAAATTAAATTACAATATTAAGACATTGATTATATTCTTAATATTATTTAATTACATTATTACCATTTCTTGCTTCTTCCCTCTATCCAACTTCAACTTCACCATCACTCTAACCACCTCTTCCTTCCCCCATGCACGGATGCGTGCCACTCCGGTTCTTTCATAAGCCGGCACTGCCTCACAGCCCGACCAAAAATCGAACAGTGCAACCTGCATTTATAATAAAATTTATATTTTTATATAAAAACACAAAAAAGTGATTCAACTCATTTACCTCTAAGATTGCTATGCACCCTTTGAGGTATCTCTGGCTGCCCTTTTTAAAGGTGATTATTGATTCAATCAATCTCGAATGGATATATTCAGCCCAATTGAATTCACCCTTCAAGCCTTCATCGCAAATGAGCTTCATATATTCCTTGTTCGTTGACGTATCACCCGTTGGACAAAGAAATATCCCGACAAGGTACAATAGAACTCGGGCCTTCAGCTCATCCCCCAAGTAAGATCCACTTTTGATATCCTCTTCAACTTCAGTATATGTCACCTTATGATTCAAACCATATTTAGAGGCAAGTGCTTTCCAGTTCTTACTCCTACAGACTTCTATAACACTTTTGCCTTTGTTTTGTACCCCCAATACGGCTGCAGCAGTCGATACCCCCAGAGGGAATGAATAATCACCATACTTAGCCATACATTGACTGACGTCAAATTGTGCCATCAAGGATCGACACAATTCCCTCCGAATAGGTCGATCCCTTACTCCGATCAACGATCCAAAACCTATTTCTCCCAGCACATTCAACTGACCCTTCTCCTTAAGGTGTTTAATTAATAAATTCACCCTTTTAATGCTGCATCTTGTCGACACTTCCTACATTTTTTAACAATATATAATGTTATAGTTCTTATATATTTTGTATCAACGTATTTACAAGTTTAATGAATACCTTATTTTCATGTGCTTTCCTCCGTTCTTTGTATTCTTTACTATCATTCCTTGATTGTGTGATGTAAGGTTCCTTTTCAGCATCACTCATTGAATTCCATTTGGACCTCACATCTTTTTTCACCTAATATTAAACATAAACGTTTCTAATCAATACATTAACACTAAATACTAATACTACTCAATGTCAATTTCATTTTACATACCGAACCGCTCTGTGTGCCATCTCCCTTCATCCTTTTGCATTCGGCCATACTGTTAACATTTAAAATTTGTAATCAATTTAAAGTTTATCGATACTTTAATCCAATTACCATTTCAACAATAATAACAAAAAGACATTGATACTTACTAGAAGTACATATCCACCCTTTGGTTGCTTTCGAGTCTCGGCCTCAATTTCAAAGTCATCTGCTCCACCAACAATTTTCCAACCCATTGACTCCATTTTTCCTTCATATATCAGTTTACGCAAATCAAATTATTTTGTTACATACACTTTTCAATATACAAATATAGATAACTACTCTTGTGGTAAAACGGTTTTCTTCAAAAGAATTTGAATGGCCACACCAAAATGTGTCGGCACATTTATACAACCTATAATATCATTTTCTACCTATAATATTTAATAAAAGTATCGACATTTATATTTTCCTTGAATATCTATTTCTACCTGCAATCGGTCCCAAATGCTTCCTTACTCCAAAACCCCAAACAACACATAAAAAACCCTATCGCGATTACTGTAATAATAAAAAATTAGGGTTTCGACAACATACTTTTCGATTCGACTGCAGCAACAAACAAACAAACTTCGCTTTAGAAACGCCTTCTGAAATGCAGCAACAATTACTCTTCGATTTCAAAAACTCGTCCGTTCTATCTTTTTTCAGAGGATATTTAGCTATGGCCTTTTATCATCGGTTATTTATATTTAATCGATACAAATACAAAAGTGTCGATACTTTTATGTCAGGTGTCGATACTTTCGAAAGGATAATTACCTATTTCTTTGAAAGTGTCCATAATTTATTACACGTACTTACGAAAGTATCGACACTTTCAATATATCCGGTATCATTTTACCGGTTTTATCATTTTGTTACCGGTTTTATCATATTTTTACCTGTTATATCGTTGTGGATCAATATATTTTTTTAAAGTATCGACACATTATAGGCGCTATAACTGCTTCTCTTTTAAATTCACAAAGTGTCGATCCTTATATAACGTATCGACACTTTTAAATTTACCGGTTTTATCATTTTGTTACCGGTTTTATCATTTTGTTACCGGTTTTATCATATTTTTACCTGGTATATCGTTTTGGATCGATATATTTTTTAAAAGTATCGACACTTTTTAGGATTTAAAACTGCTTTTAAAGTTATGTAATTTATGTTTCAATTTATTTAATAATGTTTCATGTTTTCCACCTACAATATTAATTTAATAATTTAATTTACACAAAATTTTATTTGATTGTTTTGATATTTTATAAAATATTATTTAGAATTTAAATTTAACAATATTAACCAAATAATTTAATAAATATGTTTTCAACAGTGAAATAAGTATGGACACTTTTATAAAAATGATATATATTTTTTTGAAAGTTATGTAATTTATGTTTCAATTTTTTTAATAGTGTTTCATGTTTTCCACCTACAATATTAATTTAATAATTTAATTTACACAAAAAATTATTTGATTGTTTTGATATTTTATAAAATATTATTTAGATTTTAAATTTAACAATATTAACTAAAGATAATAATAAATATATTTTCACAGTGAAATAAGTATGGACACTTTTATAAAAAGGATAGATAATTTACAATATAACATGTAAAAATATGACAAAACCAGATTCATTATGATAAAACCGGTAAAATTTACTTGATATGTTAAACGTATGGACACTTTTATAAAAATGATAGATACTTACCGATAACCAAAGTTTACCGGTTACCAAATTTTTTAATAGTTTTTCATATTTTCTACCTAAAACATTATTAGTTGTCAACATAATAGGTACCGCTAAACCGAATTTATTAAATACATTTTAATGTATCCGGTAATGCTGTATATTAACCGTATATTAACCCGTCTTTCCTAAGACAATCCCACGGGGGAGAGAGATAGAGAGAGAAGCATAACACGCTACGCTTGGAAAGCGGGACCAGCCCGCCATTAATGCAATTAATCTCACCCTCCTTCAAAGATCTTTTATTTTCCTGTCTTTGATCTGCAATATCATCACTGTCAGCTTACTAGTTGCTGCCTGCCGCTTGCTTCTACCAAGTACTGTACAAGAAAAATTCAAGCCTTTTTCTATAAACTGGTAAACTTCTCTCTCTCTCGAAACCCATTTTTCCCTTGCTTTCTATTTGGTTTACAGAGAAAATATTTGTTTTTGGGTGATTTAGTTTCTTGGGTAGTCTTTTGTTTCAAGTGTTTCCTTTTTCGTTTGAACTTCTAAATCAGAAAAAAAGATATTTTGTTATAAAAAGTGATGGTTTTGGGAAGCTCTGTTTATAAAACGTAGATCTCCTTTTTCTTTGTTGAATTCTGGAGGAAAGGGTCATTTTTTGTATGTGTTTTACAATCTGCAGAAGAAGAGTTGAAGATGGTGGCTTGTTTTCGGGTATTTGATTCAATGGGGATTTGCTTTAGTGCCAGAATCAAAGCTGAGAGCCTCAATAACACAGGTAGTTGAATATTTCTAAAGCTTCCATTTTGTTCTCTTTATTGAGCGTCATACTAACAAATGCATGATTTATACATGATTGAAACATTTTAGTAATATAGGGTTTTCAGAACAATCAACAGATCTCAATTAACAAATGCATGATTTATATACATGATTGAAACAGGGCTGACTTCAAAGTATGATAGTGGTGAAGGGAAAGATTTGAGCAGTGAAAGCAGCGGCAGCAAAGTTTCATCATTCTCAGCATCTTTGACACCTCGGAGTGAAGGTGAGATTTTACAGTCCCCCAATTTGAGAAGTTTCAGCTTTGCTGATCTCAGAATGGCCACGAGGAATTTCCGTCCCGATAGCGTGCTAGGAGAAGGGGGTTTCGGCTCTGTGTTTAAGGGTTGGATAGATGAAAACGCCTTCACCGCTACCAAGCCTGGAACTGGCATCATTATTGCTGTCAAAAGGCTTAAGCAGGATGGGTTCCAAGGTCACAGGGAGTGGTTGGTGAGTCCATGTTCAGCCTCATCCTTCTTATACGCAGAGCATCCGAGTGGTTTGCATTTATTAATATGTTGTGTTTCAATTTGCTTGCTTAAGATGTTTATCTGCGAAGCTTATTGGTTTGTTTTTATCATTTTGACCTTATGGTTGGAAATTTTTAAATTATGTTTTGAGATCCAAGTGCATAGATTCACTTATCTTCATTCTCGATCTTTTAGGCTGAAGTGAATTACCTGGGACAATTTTATCATCCTAATCTTGTGAAATTGATTGGGTATTGCTTGGAGGATGAACACCGCCTTTTGGTGTATGAATTCATGCCACGTGGCAGCTTGGAGAATCATCTCTTCAGGAGTAAGTTCTTCCGGTCTATCGCTTGGTGTCATCGAACGAAACTTTGTTTGAAGTGTCATTTTATTTAATATTAACACTTGGATTACGTGTACCAGGAGGTTCTTATTTCCAGCCTCTTTCTTGGAGCCTCCGCTTGAAGGTTGCTCTCGGTGCTGCAAAAGGGCTTGCCTTCCTTCACAGTGCGGAAACGAAAGTCATATATCGCGACTTCAAGACTTCCAACATCTTGCTTGATTCGGTACGAGATTTGTTAAGCCAGCATTATTTCCAATTCCATCACTATTTCATCACATTCTCTATGAACCATTTCATTCTGATGCCATTACAGAACCATAATGCAAAGCTTTCAGATTTCGGATTGGCCAAAGATGGGCCAACAGGTGATAAGAGCCATGTTTCTACGAGGGTCATGGGGACGTACGGATATGCTGCTCCGGAGTATCTTGCCACAGGTACTTAATAACAGTTAACCCAGAATATGTAATCTTCCGCTCTTGTAAACAAAGAATCATTCTGTTTTTTTCTCCAACTGTGTAGGTCATCTGTCTGCCAGGAGTGATGTCTATAGTTTCGGAGTTGTGCTGTTGGAGATGTTATCCGGCAGAAGAGCAATTGACAAGAATCGGCCGCTGGGAGAACAAAAGCTGGTGGAATGGGCCAAACCCTACCTTGCCAACAAACGCAAAGTATTCCGTGTCCTAGATAATCGCCTCGAAGGCCAGTATTCAATGGAAGGAGCCTTTAAAGCTGCTACCCTTGCTTTACGATGCCTTTCCATCGATCCTAAGTTCAGACCGAACATGAATGAGGTTGTAACAGCATTGCAGCAGCTCATGGATTCTAACGATTCCAAAAGTAATTCGAACAAGATTAATGGCTTGCCTCGGAGACGTAGGCAAAGCGCAGATGATGCTACTGGTGGGAGTACGACTGCGTACCCTCGTCCATCGGCTTCGCCACTTTATGCCTGATAATGGAATCAAAAGCTTCCGACCACCCGAGTATACTCGGTTGGTCGTCTCCAGAACTCGGGCATTCACTTTTTCTATATTTTTGCCTAGTGACTGTACAGTTGGTACATCAGGTCATGTACTGGATAGTCAAAAAAACCAATCATGTCTACAAAATTGCAGAGGCTGTACCCATAGCAATGGGAATGTATATGCAATTGTTTATGAGAGCCAACATGGAAAACGATGTAATTGCTTTTCTACGGTGCAATTATTAGGTTTTTTTTTCTTTGTCCGATCGGGTTTTGGTCAAATTATAATCATATTTTTATGATTATTTCCTCCTAGTCTTCTGAGATGCAAGAAATATCAACTGTTCCGGACCATCCATCAAAACCAAATGCTTTCATGATCGGTTTGAGAATTAAATGCTGAGAATGATAAACAAATCCGTTTGCAACCGAAACGCCACTTGTGTTGTTAGCCGCTTTTCTTGAAAACCAAGTCAATAGATTGTACCTAGGACTTCCTAGGTCAAAATTCGATGCAGAAAGCACGGCGTTTTCCAGTTTCCAAGTTCCAAAACATCCTCTGCCATTGGGTAGCAACCAATTCAAGTGCACGGTGATACTCGGTATCTGGATTGGAGTTTAGTACTCCCTGTTTAGATTCTCACCCCCTCGTTTTCAGACATTTTCTATTAAAACAATTGATGTTTTATTTAAGGGTAAACTACACAAATGGTCATCTATATTTGAATAAGTTTCTCTTTTCCCTATTAATGTTTCAAAAAGTAATGAATTGTTGATTAACATTATTGATTTTTTACGTTACTGGGATACCGAAATGTAGTTGTGGTGCGTTAAGTCGACTAACCTAACGCCGTTTGATCATATGAAACAAATATGTTGACTGCTTGTTTTGACTCATCTTCATTTTAAACCAATACCCAATAAAACCTAATTTACTATAGCTTTTGCTGCTTCTACTTCTACCAGACCACCTCTTAAACAAGTAGAGAATCTAGAAAAAAATCGCCACTTGATCCGTCAAGAGTGAGGTTACCACTGCGAAGAATCACCAACTTCATACCACAGCAAAAAAAAAAAAAAAAAAGCACTGCAATGTCTACATGCTTAATATCAGCTTCTAAAATCCTTACGCATTTTGATGCTTCACTTGTAGAAAAAGTGAATGTTATGTTTCAGCACAATCTATAATTTATTCAGCCACATGACATTATTAGCACGGTCACTTACCATCTCTGTTGGGAAAAACAATGAGTATTTGCTACATCTTATATCTTAGTCGCTACAATCAAGTGAAAGAATGAGAATACACTAATCATATCAGTCATAGTTTTCATCATTTGCATTAATCACAAATTATTAAATTACTCAAACGTAACATAGGTTGGGGGAACAAAGCAAATAACATAATACAATATGTAACACAATCCAAATAGTTACAAAACCTCAAACACATGCTTACCATCTTAGGAGTTTAGAATCCCAGAATAAACCCCAAAACACTCTTAACACAATTGAACTCGTATAAAAGTAGTTAAACAAATGAAGTGAGTTTCTAAAAGCTGAATGAGATAGTCAAGACATAAATGAAACATAATATATATCAATATTAACCAAATATAGTCGCATAACATCAAGTTGATTATAACATACATTAAACATCAATTAGCATTTCATATCATTTCTTACATAGTTATATGTAAAGTTATATAAACATATCAATTCATTTGATACAATTTCATTAGGTTTATCTCAATAATCGATTAATAGTGTAAGGATATTCGAATCTCACCTTTTCACCAAATATTAGTACGATACAAATACAATAAATATCTCTCCTCATTGTTGAGATACATGGTCTTAATATACAACATCTCACCTTCTTGCTAAGATTGAAGTCTTTAAGAATCCGTATACAATCGCTATAAACCATATGATGTCAATTATACTCAAAACTAAGCTAATAACTAAAGAATCAATAATCATATTATTAAAATATAAAAGTTGTTACTTTTCATTATCATATTAGCATGCAACTTGTTACCAATATCAAATGGAGCATTGGGCTCATTTTTACAAATTAACATATTTTCATATGGCATCACAATTTATAAATCAATTTAGTAACGCAAAAAAATTCTCCAGAAATCAAACTCAAAATTTATCGTAGATTAAAACATTATTTATTAATTTTTCTAAAAAAAAGGTAGTAATTACAAGTAGAATAATTTATCTTAGTTAAGTGCCATGTTACCGTATCATTATTAGAGAGAAAAAATATAATCTCTTCCCTAATAATGTGAAAAGCGGATTCTTAGCACAAAAGGAATCCAAATACCTTTTTGGAGGTGGAATAGGAATCCAAAGATCTTTATCCCTCCAAATGTAACAAATACAAATGATTCTGAATACTAATGCCTTTATGATAGCTTAGGAATAGTCAATCTAGTAACTAAAGGACACGCACAGACCATACTCTACCGAGAGGTGTAAATGAACAGAATATTCTGTGAACTGCTCGTATAACGTTCGTTAAGCTAAATAAATTAGTATAAATAAAAAAGTTTATGTTCATTTACACCCTTACTGTTTATCAAACCTTTCTATCGATCTTTCTATTGCAGGCACCTACTTAACTGAAGCACGACGTATTCTATAAATGACCCAAACTTTAGAGCCGTTTTTATTCGAAGAGATGTCAATGTTGTGGCTCATGAACTTATTCATTGGACCTTTTTGATTGGTTTTCAAATTTTCGGATTGTATCAAGAATCTTATTATTTCGGATACAATAAATAATTGATTCCGTTTACCCTTAAAAAGTAATCAATCTAATAATTAAATGATTATTAAACATTGTAATAGATAAATTTCATCACTGTTTTAATAAATTAATGAAAAAAATATCATAATCGAATTTGTGATATGATAATTATAACTTACTTTAAAATAAAACTTTAATTGATATTAACTTTAAAGTTTGATCTCCGCGATCTTTCTTTTCCCTGTGTCAAAAATAATATTTACGAATTTATTGATAAAATATACTATAAAAGGACTTATTCATGAATTCCGGCCCATTGGAGCAACACCCCATGTGCGGTGGTTTGATACAAAGTAAATTTAGGCAAAAGCATTGGAGTTGGGAGTTGGGGCCCTTATTTGGATGTGACCTCCCAACCAACTACGGGTTACGCTGTTATGGGCTACATTCTGTTACCCCTTTTTAAGTTTTAACAACTAATTTTTAATTAACAAAATAAATCAAAATTATTAAATTCAATTTCTGTCCTCGTAAATAGGTTACTCATATTAATATTTTGGCACGTATATAACATTTTGGGCATTTGAAGTGAGAAGTTTTAAATGAATTTAAACATGTGGAGAAAATAGACGAGAATTGAGAATGATAAGAAACAAACCAAATATATATTATAATTCAATTAAACTAAAATACATAAAAGGTCCTAAAATCCCTCAACACTTATAGGCTGCGGGCTACATTTCTGTGCAGCCGCCTCAGTCCTTCCCTTCAAACCACATCACAAAAACAAAACCCACCATTCCAAATGCCCGAACCAAAACAAAAAACACCCCCAATCCAATTGGTTAAAACGGAACTCCGCCCCTAAAACATCGTAATATATTATGGTGGGAAACTTCCATTTAAAAATAAAAAAAAAGTTATATCATGGGGTTAATAATTGCTGCTGCTTTTTTTTCCTGGTTCCAAAGTTGTGTTCAAACCCTGAAATTCTTGCCAGTGAATGTTTGACCAAACTGCCAATGGGAGGGAACGATGTTCCAAGAGGTGGAAGTGCGCCTGTCACTGCCTGTCACCCTGAACGACAGTGTCTGACCCACAAGCACCGCGTTTGACTGCCAGTTCTGACCCCAGTTCCGGCTCATGCTCATCCAACCGCTTCTACTTCCTTTCACACTTACCTTCACGATATCCCCTGCTCCCGCTACGTTGGAGATCAGAACCAGGTTGAAGTAACGGAACCCGTTTATTGTGAACCGTATCCCTCCCATCTTCCGGCATGGCACTCTGCATAAATTAAACCATAACCGTGACCCCTTTTATTATTATTATTTTATCAAGGAAAACAAGAGCACCAAATGTTAGCATGAAACATGGCGCGTGATTGTTGGCCCGGAACAACAATACAAGGAATTACGGTTCGAAATTTAGTCAAGGACATCGGGAACCGTGAAATCGTGTCTCTTGGCCTTTGGGATAGCGAGTTTTACGATTAAGTCCTTTACTCCTTTACTAAGGAATTTTAATAATCATAATCAAGTACGAAGTTTTAATTTCATTACACAAATAGAATGGTCTAATTCAGTGTTAGTCCTTTACAATGTTAAAATTTATAAATTAAACCCCTTATCAACCTATGATCTAAAGAAACAGGCCACAGATTATGCTGATTTGGTAGCCACGGAAGAAAAAACCTTTAGAAGCTTGATTAACTTTTAAGATTGGGTTTGGGAGTAGATGGGGAAAAAGAAAAAGGGTATTTTGGTAAAAACAAAATACCAAAGCTAGTAATAACTCCTCTGCTCTGACACAGACTTCACGAGAGCTTGTATCAGAAAAAAATACGAATCTAAAACAGAGATTAACGAAAAAAAATGACTTCTCATGCATTAATTTAACATTTTTGCGTAAAACATGAAAATAGCATAATGCAGCGAGTTTAAATAAGGAACATAACACACATACCGGCGGTAAGAAACGGGGACAATGCCAGCACGGTACTCGGCAATCTTGAGGAACATGGGCATGGCGAGGTCAAAGTGAGGGCGAGGAGGGTTGCACCACCCGCCATTGTCGTTCGGGAGAGCATAGTTGGGCGGGCAAAAGTTGGTGGCGGTGATGAAGATGGAAGGACTCCCTGAATGGCACCACCTGGGATCACTAGCACATTTGATCTCGAAGCAAGCACCGCAGCTCAACCCGTTGTTGAACAAGGCAGTGCTCAATGCCGCCGTGTTAACTCCATACCCTTGGCTGTACAAGTTCCCATACCCACAAGCTCCTCCTGCAACAATAAAAAAAGGGAAAACATTATAAGAAAAAGTAGAAGCTTTTGAGGGAAAATGAGGTAAAAATCGTGGGTACGTACCCATGGTACCAGAAGCATCAGAACCGCCATAGAAGGTAGCATGGGCATTTTGCCATGCACCACCGGAGTAAACTCCTGGAATTCTAGCTTCACCCATCATCCACATTGAACACATAAACATCACAATGCAGAATAAGCTCACCATCTTCATTTCCCTCCCTTTAATTACTTCAACACTTTGACTAGAAAACTAAGATCTCAGCTCTGTTATTTTGACAGAGTAGAGAGAGGCTTGAGGGCTGGGGTGTGAGTAAAGGGAGAAGGTGAACGGGGTACTTAAAGAGGAGGGTCTATCTCTTGAAGGAAGGGTTGAGGGCCCTTTATTACGTTGCTTTTGTTTGAAACTATGCTATTTTTTAAATTTGTATTTAATATTAAAGAAGAATGGCTAAAATGCCCATGTGACCCCTTGTACTTGTCTATTTTTTCTAATTCGGTATCTATTTTTTCTCTCTCTCAATTTTATACATGTAATTTTATTCCTTCAACTAGTGATCGATAACCCTAATGATCTCAGATGTTTAATTTAAATTAATTATTGATGTCAGTGATCGATACATAATGAAGGGAATGAAAATGTATATACAAGTTGGGGAAAAATAAATTAAATATCAATTTGAGAGAAAATAATAAAGAATGGATCATATAAATATTTAAGCCAAGAATAAAATTAAAGTAAGTCTTTTGAAAACAAGAGATTTTGTAGTCTTACCAATAGTCTGCTTTATTAAATTCTCTGTATGATTATATTATATGAAATAAATAAATATATATATATATATATACCGTACAGAGACTTATACTCCATCTATAAATTAGGTTGAACCTTATACGGATAAGTTTTGCCTCATTGGCCCTACATCATCTGCTTTCCATTATACTTGTCTATGGAAGAGGTGGGTTTGGTTTTAAAATTATCAAATTATTTTTAATTTAAATTGACATTTGAAGTTGTGTTATTGTGATTTTAAGATTGATTTGATGTAAATTTATATTTGATAAAATTTAATTATTATATTTTATGAGAAAGTTCAGATTGAAGAAAAAAAATGAAGACCGAAAGAAATTCTCTGCCAAACTGTTTTAAAAGGCAATATCAACGGGTGTGATTTAATGAGAAGATATAGGATATTAGATGGAACAAGGCTTAAACGCACTAACAAAACATCCCCAAGAAAGGAAGCTAATTAAAAGCTGAGGCAAATAGAAGACACTTGCAAGCATCTAACGTGGGGATAGGGACCCACACAACCCCGTAATCATCGGCTCATATAAAACACCCCCGCCGGTTTTTAACCGTAACACCTAATCGGTTAAACAGTGTCATTAGTCCCCCTTTCATATGCATAATATGTGAATTTAGTCTCTATACTACGTATAAATTTAGATTTAACTTACGTACCCTAATTTGCTTAAATTTAATTCTTATATTTTTAAATTTTAAGAAAGTATATTACAAAAATTTGATTTCATAGATTTAACAATTACTGCTTAGTTCAAATCAAAAATTTGAAAATTGAGACTACATATGAAAGGGTTAGATTTTAGGGATTAAATCTTTAACTTTCACATAATAGAGGAACTGATTTTGAGCAAAATGAAATGGAACATATAAAAAATAATTATTATAAAAATAAAGTTGGAAATTTTAAAAATGCAATTTTCAAGCAACATTCATTGCTTAAAGTCCAAGTTGTGTGAATGAATGCACTTGATTTGGTTTAGATGTTACTTTTTTAGAAGGGGAAGAGACTCAAAAGTGGGGTTTATACGAGAATAAGAAGAAGTGTTATATTTTTCTTTTACGTGAAAATTTGGCATTCAAAGAATAATTGGAGCGTGGTGAGTTATCACTTATCTATAAGTCGGCTTTAATTTAATGTTTTGATAAGATTAAGATAATGCTTTTTGACCGTTCAACTCTAGAATAACGTAACCTCGTTGGTCATTGTCTTGCACATTTGTAATTTGTAATATTGAGATATAAATTTTGTGACCTATTACAAAGCACGATAATGACAATTTATGTATTTATTCAAAGAAGCATGATCGTTTAGGCATGCTAAAACCAATTGCATTGCTCAATTCACTAAACATGCTTCTCTTGACATGTTTTTTATTGTTGTAATATTGATACAAAATAGGACATCTGTGGTTTAAAACAACTCACACATAATGTTGTAATTTTATTGGATTAAACATAATTTCCTTAGAATATATTTTTAGAATTTTAGATTACACACTCCTATTCTTGTTCGAGTTTGTATTTTATGGATTTAGTATTCGTTTGCATTATGTCATCGAGTCAATGCTTGAAATCAACGACGGTGTTAGTTTACATCATTAAAATATGATTTTATCATATATCGGTTAACAAGTTAACGTCCAACTCATACGTCTGTCAACTTTTTAAAAGACAATGATAAACTTGGAACATATGAATAATCATGTAACCATTTTGTAACTCTTAATAATTGATGAACTTAACAAAGTAATTCTCTATATTAAACGGAATAACTTATAACTTTTAATAGTTGAAGGACCAAATAAAACAATACCATATAATTAAAGTATCATTTGTCAACTTTATCCTTAGTTTTTTTACCTTTACATTAAATTAGTGACATTTTAATGGGCAAAACTGCCACGATAATGTTTGGGGAATATATTATTTCCCAAAATAATGTTGTAATGTGATTATTTCCTCAAATGGGGCAATTGACACAGGAACATGGATCTCTCGGCGTCTTTAGCAGATTTATCGGCGTATTCAGGTTGGTTCATTCGTTCGAGGGAGATCTAGGCGTCTTCAATACAATTGCATGCAAAATCAGATCTCTAGGCGTCTTCAACACAATTTGCATTCAAACATGGAGGTCTCGGCGTCTTCAAATTATTTTCCATGCTCGTCGGATCTGTCGGCGTCTTCCTTTGGTTTCCATGCTTGTTCCATTCAAACATGGAGGTCTCGTTGGCAGCCATAGATTTTTGAGCAAAACAAGGAAAGCAAGGGAAGATAATGGGTTGTAGGGTCCAACGTGAAAACTTTCCAACTTATGAGTGAGTTAGTTTAAACACCAAAAGCAAAAGCAAGGGAAGATAAAACGTACATTTTATAAATTTATGCAAAAACAAAAACATTAGGGCCCATGATTAATATTAAACAAATCCATACATTTATTATATAAAAACATTAATTTTATAAAGTAGCACTAAATATTAATAAAGGTTACAGGATCTATATTTATGCAAAAGTGAATCATGCACGCAAAAGGGAATTCACGTGGTGAGCAGGGAATTCACGGGGTGAGTTGATAATAGGGCATCGCATGTGATTAAGTAGAGGATGTCTCGGCGTCTTCTTCACTTTGGGTGGATTACTCGGCGTTTTCTTCACAATTTGGGGTGGAATGCTCGGCGTTTTCTTCAAATGGGAGGGGATATCTCGGCGTCTTCTTCATAATAATGCATGCACAAGAGTTCGAAACATCTTTATAAGAGTGCTCGGCTCGGCGTCTTTCTTCATTGTGAGATAAAACAAGCGAAGAGAGTGAGAGGAAGGATATCAGAAGCAAAGAGAGCGAGAAGATCATCATCGTAGTCAAAAAAATTGAGGTAATTTAAACTCAAGCCCTATATCTAATTTTCTTCTTGTTTTAAGGTTTAGTGATTATATGTTGTGATTATATGTTATTACATTACATAGTTTGAAATAATGATTTATATGTTGTTACATAATTTGAAATAAGCTTTGGATCATTTTGGAACATTGTCAAGTTATGGTGACCGTTTTGCAAATTTTGTGGAATTTAAGGAATAAGATGTAAATTATTAAAAGTTTGTATACTATGTTGGAATTTAGTATTAGTATGCATAATTGGTTCAATTTGATAGAATTTATAAATTTAGGGATTATATTACAAAGTTTGAAAATATTGAGAACCAAATAGTTAATTATTTGAAATTTATCTTTGAAGTTTATTTTTATTTTTTTTATTAAATTAGATAACATGTTATTTGGAAAAAAACAACTTAATATTTGATTGTAATATTTAATTTTTTTGTCTAGATTTGTTGAAACATGGCAGAAGAAAATGTTCTTTTGAGGCTAGATGGTCGACATATTTCGAGTCATTTGGTAGAATTGGTAATATGATCGACTTATTTTTTTTATTTGAGAATAGTGAATTAATTCTAATTACATGGATTAATAAATTACAGGATGACGAACAACGAGTCATTCGTCCTCGACTTATCAACTGTGAGATGCCAGATCAACGTATTGTTGATAATTTGAAAACAGTGGGTTTTTATGATGTTGCTTTTGTAAGAGAATTTCGATTGATCCCCGGTTTGATAAGTGCATTAATTGAACGGTGGAGACCAGAAACTCATATTTTTCATCTTCCATGTGGTGAATGTACGATCACTTTGGAGGATGTGGCTTTACAACTCGGGGTTCCTACAAATGGAATGGCAGTGGTGGGAAATACATATCTTGACGTGTTTGCAACATGTGAGCGTTACCTTGGGAAGGTACCAGACAAAGATATAGCAAAAGGGTCACGACTGAGATTATCCTGGTTGGCAAATGAGTTTAAGCTCGATCCACAATGTAGTGAGCGAGACATTATATATGCAACTCGAGCATATATATTACGTTTGATTGGCGGAATCTTGATGCCAGATAAATCCAGTAATCTTGTCCATATACAATATCTTCCGTTTTTGGAGAACTTCTTTATGACCCGTCAGTATAGTTGGGGATCAGCAATATTGGCATTCTTGTATCGCGAGATGTGCAAGGCATCATTAATTGTTAATGATGCGTATACGACTGAAATCGGTGGATGCACGATGTTATTACAATCGTGGGCGTGGTACAGAATTCCATGGTTAACACAGATTAGCCGAACTGCAGTTGACTTTCCTCTTGCCGGAAGGTAATTTTATTAATTTAAAATATTTTATCTTAAATTAAATAAAGAATATTTTGTAAATGAAAAATAATTATAGAATTTTATTTTGATTGGTATACAGATGGAGGCATAAAATAGAAAAAACGAGATTGGCGCACAACAACGTGAAAGAGTTTAGGTTTAAGATTGACATCAAATGCAAAGTTGAGGTATATATAAAATTAATAAGTGAATTTATTTTTTATTATGTTTATATTATAATATTTTTATTGATTTATTTTGTTGATTTTTATAATTATTTAATTAAATAATAATTAAATAATTTTATTTTATAGTTTATTTGGAGGCCGTACGATGATCAAGAAATTATGTCGTGCGTACCGCAACATGTCTGGGAGGGTTGTGAATATTGGTGTGCTGTTACACCATTGATCCATTTCATGTTTGTGGAGTTCAAATTTGCCGATAGAGTGTTGAGGCAGTTCGGCTTCCACCAACATATTCCATTCATTCCAGAGAATCATGATGCTCTCCATCGATTAGATGGGCGGGGTAGGATCGGTGAGGATTGGTCGGTGAGGCATGCCAACCATATCAATCATTGGAACAACAGGGGTTCATACTTGCCAACGCTCACTCCCATACAAGCAGATGACTTTGACTTCAAGAGTTCGGATTACCTGAATTATTTTTGGGAACATGGAAATCCGTTCTTGACAATGATCAGAGAAAGACGACAATTTATAGAGTATACGAAAAAATTCGGTAAACCCGAGAAACCAAGAAGGACTGGGAGTGGGAGTGGGAGTAGGAGTTCTTCTCACCGTGGAGCAGAACAAGAGACAATGGATAATATCCCACCAGAATCTTTTGATCACACAAGATCATTTAGCCAAGTGGTTGGTGATTCTAGTGTTACGCCCTACACTCCTCAGCATGTTCCTCATCAATCACTCATGTTCTCTCCTATGTTTGGGGCAACAAATGATTTTGATCAGATGACATCTATGATGACAAGTACGAGTGTTTGTCCTCAGATAGGAGAGCATAGTGGTGGTGAGCATATATTTACAACACCAGAACCTATGCCCTCGATGAATGAGCAGGTTGGTTATGCTGAACAAACTCCTGAACAAGTGCAACGACCACAACGAAACCGACGTGGGCCTCAACATTATTACTCAACAACACCCCGACACCGACAAGAGTTGTAATCCTTATTTTAATTATTTGTATCAAATTAAAGTAATTAAATCGAATATATTTACTATTATTATATCATTAAATATAAATCATTAAAGTCAAGTAATTATTATTAAATCATTAAAGTTAAGTAATTATTTTTAAATCATTAAAGTTAAATAATTATTATTAAATCATTAAAGTTAAATCATTAAAGTAATTATTATTAAATCATTAAAATTAAATCATTAAAGTTAAATAATTATTATTAAATCATTAAAGTTAAATCATTAAAGTAATTATTATTAAATCATTAAAATTAAATCATTAAAGTAATTATTATTAAATCATTAAAGTTAAATCATTAAAGTAATTATTATTAAATCATTAAAATTAAATCATTAAAGTAATTATTATTAAATCATTAAAGTTAAGTAATTATTATTAAATCATTAAAGTAGATGGCACATGGTTATACGGTCAATACAAACACATAAATGGGTTCAAATGTTGAAAATAAAACTTACCCATGCTGACTATCTCCCTACGAATACGGTCGTTATGAAACTTCTCAATACATTTCTTACCAATATGACGGATACAATATGCGAGATATGCGTGCGGAGGTGTCCAACGACTATCCGATCGTTCAATTACTGCCAAAAGGCTTGTTCCTCGATCGGATATCAAGGAAACTCCTTCTTCTCGGACGACATAATTACGTAGATTAGTCAAAAAGAAGTCCCAAGCCTATGTCGTCTCTCCTTCAATGATGGCGAATGCAATTGGGAATATATTTCGTTGACCATCCTGCGCAAATGCTATCAATAATATATGTTTGTATTGACCGTATAACCATGTGCCATCTACTTGGACCATACGTTTGCAAAATGAAAACCTTTTATGCATGACTTGAATGCCCAAAAGAGTCTATGGAATATTCTTTTCCCTATAACAAGTTGACCTTCTCGGTTGTATGCAGGCATGGTCTGAGACTTCACGATAGTTCCAGGTATGAATTGTTTCATAGCTCGTAACAAATCAGGTAACTCATTGTATGATGTATCCCAATCACCATATACCAACCTCCTTGCCTTCTCCTTCGCATGCCAAACAGGTTTGTATTTTACGTTGTATCCGAACTGATCTCGAATAGATGCAGCTAACACCGAGCAAGGAATCCTTGGATTTTGTTTAACCAAAACCTTCACATATTGACAAATTACATCGGAGTCCAGTAGTCGGTGATCTTGTTCGATAGAGTTTTGCAAACATGTGTGTGGACCATTGTACCTTGTGATGACCCAAGCATCTTGCCTCTGTATTTTGGACACTCTGATCAGCCACTTACACTCAGGCCCATACACACTTCACGTACAACGTTTTCTGGTTGGACTCTACAACCTTGCAATCTACATGACCTCTTATGCAATACTCTTTAATCGCCAGTGTAGCTTCTTTTTTTCCTCTATATTGCTTCCCAACTGATAATTCACCAGAGTTATCAGACGATTCAATAATGTAACCTGAAGTTAAATGTGGCATCTCTGGGAATTCAGGTGCCCTCATTGCTTCATAATCAATCTCCTGCATGTGAGGGGTAGGTTGATACGGTGTCGGATATTCACCAATATTGATATCAGCTTTATAACCATCGAACATGACGTCTTCCTCACCCAAATGAGGTTCATTAGTTTCTTCATATTCACTGGAATCTTCAAGTATTTCTTCCCATCGGTTTTCTGCGTCATACTGTGCGGCTCCAGATGTTCCCCCAACTTCATTTGCACTTTCCAGCATCGCCACAAAGCTGTTCATCGACCTATATGTCGGGTTATCGAGCTGTCTCTCAAAACCCATTTGAGATGAAGTTCCAACCGCATTTCTCGATAACCCAGGCACATTAGATATATTACACAACTCAACAAGTAACTCAATAATTGGAATATTTGTCGAGTCATGTAATTCAACCATAGTTATTATATCATCATCTTCTACAACTGGTACTGCAGCATACCTGATCGGATTGGGACATACCATAAATCTATACCTCATACCATCAACAGTAGCACTAATTTTTCTTTCTATCCTCGCATTCGTCTCTACAAATGTGATGTCCCTTTTAAACATCATATTTATAGGTGTTTCAGACTGAAAAATAACCCCGGCCTCGTTTTCCATCATGTGTCCATTGTAATGGACAATCGTGAAAAATTTGTTGCTCATTTTCTCTACACGTAAAAATATAGATATTTATAATAAATTACATTCTAAATTATAATGGATAATTAATAACCTGCAACCACCAACCTACCGAGATGTTAATGGATTATTAATAACCCACTAACATACTCGATTTATTACTCAATAACAAAATCATAAATATAGTTCATTCTTTAAAATCAAAAAAAATCTAATTAATTTCTATTTAAAAATTAAAATAATGGACGAATTATAAAAATTACATAAAACTTACTATAAATCCGATTTATTTCTTCCTTTGTTCAAACTTTTTTCTCTTTTTTTCCCGAAATAACTCTCGAAATCTCGATGTAAGCTTTTCTTCTCTTCTCTTCTAACTTCTCCTCGAACTCACTCTCTCACTCTCCCAGACACCATTATCGGTTTCTAACTGCCAAAACTCATTGAATTATTGGCTTCCAAAGTAACTCATTAGCATGCATTATTGGTGGACCTGCATGATGCTGATGAAGAAGACGCTGAGAACTCCACCCAAAGGCTGAAGAAGACGCCAAGAACTCCACCCCAAGGCTGAAGAAGACGCCGAGAGCTCCCATGAACATCTTTTGAACGAACATATATAGAAGACGCCGAGAGCTCCCATGAACATCTTTTGAACTAACATATATAGAAGACGCCGAGATATCCGAGTGAATCCCACACCTCTAAAGACGCCGGGAAATCTTACTTTTCTGTAACGAACACCCCATTTAAAAAAATAATAGCATGAGTATATTATTTTGGGAAATAATATATTGGCCATGCATTAACGTGGAAGTTTCCCCCATTTTAATGTTCTCACGGCAGAAGTCCGAATTGTTAAGGTTAAACCACGAATGAGAAAAAGGATTGCGATCCCATCTGACAAAAAGGAAAAAGAAAAAGAAAATATTTTCAACAATTTAATTAAGATTGCAGTAGAAAAATAAAAAGTAGTCAAGGGCGTT